AAAGGACTGGCCTCATTGTTGCTATTATGGAGTTGTAATATGGTTCTAAGAATGGCAAAACTCACTGACGTTGCCGCCTACGATGCCTGCAAAACATCTGGGTATATACTACGACCACAGTCTAACTTTCAAAATGATTATTCATACAATGGACTCCGGACAAGGTGCATTCCTCTGAGTTTTACTACCAAAATAAGGTCAAACAACTTATATTAACTAAGTTAATTTATTTTTATGTAAACAACTGACTTATTAATAAGATTCCATTTAACAGTCTATGTTACGATGTGAGACACACTAAAATCAATTTCTAAACCCTTAGAGCTATATATATTTTATCGGAAAATTAATTTAGGAATAAGACACATGCTTGTTTGTAATTATAATTTTAAGGGCTATTTTGAAAAATCGTAAATTAAAATCTTGTCTGGCTCCAATATTAGCCCGAACATATTTTTCGTGAATTGAATTGCATTTTTCTTCTTAACTCAGAATCATTGTATAAGAAAGTAATTAAAAATATTCTGCACAACAATTAAGAAGATGACTTTGCTGTAAGAAAGTATGTATTTATTAATTGTCTCAAGTTTATTCCAGCATAAATAGGGAATAATTTAATAATAGTTTTGAGATCCCTCATTATCAGTCAATTGTGCGTAATGTCATTGGTCCTAAGGAAAATCATTCAATAGGTGAAGATATATCTACAATTATAACCATTCAATTCCATACAGGAATACTTAGAAAATTATTTAAGGCTGGCCTCAACACTAAATAAAATTTAGGAGAGCATAATTTATGATATTCACCAAAACATGTATATGATAGTAATTCAGGGAGATATTCATCATTTTTTCGTTGATTTAAACGATTTTAATAAAAATACCAATAAAATATTGTAGAATAATTCATAACTATTTAAATTATATGCAAACTTCATTTTCAAATATTATTACTTCCTTGTGAATACATTAAACCTTAATTACCATACAGTAAATGTTTATACTTATATTTATCTGAAATATTGTTTTTTATTTCTTTTATGTATATTTAAATATCCTTCCTGGCGGCTATTTTGTTTATTTCGTTTTCTGATTTCTCGTAAATATAATGTCCGTTGGAGTTCCCATTAAGGTTCTACACGATGCCGAGGGTCATATCGTTACGCTTGAGACTGTAAATGGGGAGGTTTTTCGGGGTAAGCTTGTTGAGGCAGAGGATAACATGAATGTCCGAATGGCTGACATAAGTATGACAGCCAGGGATGGAAGAACATCTAACCTCTCAGACGTCTACATCAGAGGAAGTAAAATACGGTATTGATTTTAATTATCTTAGATTTAGATTTATGATTCTCCCCGACATGCTCAAAAACTCCCCAATGCTCAAAAGGCCAGAGGGATCTCGGGGGGCTGGAGCTGGTCGAGGCAAAAGCGCCATGATACGTTCAGCCGGTAATGCGTTATTTTTTCCTTTATTTTTCATAGTTCGTGGTCGGTCCAGACCATTTAGAGCTCGCGGAGGCCCCTCTAGGGGTCCATATGGTCGATATTAATGTGCATTGCTCAAATAAATATAATTACTTCACACGTGTTACGAGTATTAATTCGCAAGCAATCCGACTTCATTTTCACTATATTTTTATGCTTTAGTGGACTGTCTCTTGCTATCTTATCGTTCTCTATTCATTTAATCCTATTGTTTTTACCTATCTGTTCGCATCACTTACCACTTAGAACTAGTGCCTATCGCTCGTACATTTGGTGTTATTGCATCTGAGAGGCTTTTCGTCTGTCTCCACCACCCTTAGCATTTATGCTCCTCAGGGTATAAGGAAATGGTTATCATAGCGGCCTTTCAAGGCTTGTTGGTCATGCTCATACACCAGGCATACTACACAGCACATTTGCCATTTTGATTCTTAGTAGAAGACTTGGATCGTACCTTAGCAAGCTCATTTATGTATTTATTTGCATAAGTTTGCCGCAAGTTCATTGTTAATCTCCCCTTGTTTTTTACATACGGTCCTGCTCTTATTTTCCATGTTTGATACAACCATCTATGGTATAAATCTATTATCACAAATGCGAAATGTGAAGCTTCATAGAAAATCCGAAACATATAGGCCAGCTGAGCGTTCTTATTTGTCCACGGTATAACATATAGATAAGCAGGATAACCTTAGTCCTTATATCCTAACGGCTCCTTCGAACACTGCCCGCTTACGCCGCAAAGGTCAGCTCGCGATAACTTCTATCACGATGGCGGCACTGCAAATTTAAGATAAAGGGATTATGTTGGGCGAATCCTCAGTTAACATCTCTATCGGAATGTCATGGAGCAAGATTAATAGCTGCAGATGACGATGAAATTGCGTCTTGATCAATGTCGAATTACTCTGACCTATTGCATTGCCCGGGGCTGTCACATGCGTGTTGATAACACAGAAAACCATTCTTCTCAGGTAGCAGTCTTCCGGCCTGTTCGCGTTCTCTTCCATAGGTCTAACATCTCATGTTACTCCGGCTATGACTTATATGATGGTATCGCTCTGCTCTGCCGGGCCTGCAAGTCAATCATGAGAATCTCCCAGTACTCAAGGCCCACAGGCAAGCGGCTCCTTCGATTTTGGCCTTGTCGTCTTGATGTCCATAGTATATATGCTTGAGTGTTGGAACCCTGCGTTTGTGTGTGCTTTCATTACAATGTGGGCGGCATATACGCCGATCTCGATTTTTGACAACCAGATTGAATTTCCAGAAGAGCTCTAAGAAACACACTGGGATGAAGTACCGTGTACTCGTTGCACTTTGAATAACTGAATGGTGGAATTGTCTAGGGAGTCTGGACCTGTGCGGATTGCTAAGGCGTGGGTACAGGCTTCCGGGCTGAAAATGAGCATTTTCGCATTGGATATCAGAGTATTTTGCTAGTTTCTCTGGCTGGTCACGACGGATTTAGCTTGGAGTTTAGGCACCACTTACTTGAGTCGGATGCCAGCAAGCCCGTAGAGACATTTTTGCTTAGATGCAGAGGCTTTTCTCGCGCTCCCACATGTACAATTTCAGGAACCAATTCTACGAAAATAGCATTTCTGACAGCAATGTTCAAGTGAAAGTGTCTGGTGAAGAGAAGTCGACTCCACCACAGGACGACAGCAGATTCCACTAGACCGGATGTTGATTGGCTTTACTGGAACATTCATGCTGACGCTGTTTCCCAGGAAATCGCCTTGGATTCTAATAGACCAGATCGACGGCTGGTCAAGATGAATCCCCCGTCTTTTGGCGGAATCGACCTTGGAATCTCTTCACCAAACACTAACCCGAAATGGAAGTAAGCTCAACAATTACGAAAGGAGATTCCTCTAAACCCTTGTCAAAGAATGACTGATGGACACGCAAAGGGAATGCAAAAGAAAGAAGCACTTGGCAGCGTTCAAGCCTAGTCAAAAGTTAGCTTACATCGAGTAGCATGTCAAACACATAGCTGGGAATCGACTCGTATATTACCCTGGACTAGCTGCGCGCCGTCTTTTGGTTGATGGAAATGCGATATTACTTATCTAATAGTAGCATCAGTCCTATTAAAGAATCGAAATCGCGTGCATGATAATCACCGCTGTCTTCACCACATAAACTCGACCCGAAAATAACCAAATCCAAATTCTTGACTAGTTTATACCCTTGAAGGAGTGGTCGATTGCAGTGACCTAGGATTAGGAATTTGGTCACTTAGTTTACGTTCAATAATAAACCTTCAATCACTGCGACTACAGTCAGCAAAGAATGAACTCGTGATGACCTCTTAGAACGAATAATAAGCTTGTCTTGTCATTCGCGACATTTGTTCCCAAAGAGACTTCAAACGGCGTGTTTTGTTTTGCGTTCCCTGCCATTTCCGTTTGTTCTTTAAACGTCAGACTGCGGACTAGAGTATCGCCCGTATTGTCGCTAAATGATTCAAGCCTGAACGACGAACTTGATCCTTCACTTCTCTAACCAACTTGATCTACACTTTATTTGGTTGAATAATCTCTATCTCAAGTTGTGCCGTTATTCGTTAAGATAAAGTAAAAATGTGCGCCACTGAGTGGGCCCATCGGAGCTTATTTATCATTACAGTCTTTCCATTCCCTTTGGTCCGGATTGAATTCTCCATTCGATAAAGAAAGAACCGCGAATTTATAAGACCACCTACGTTGGCATCATCTGATCAGCGTTTGGTGATTTAGTATTCAGCTATTTTAATAATGAAAAATGTCTAATCGCCGTATTTAAAAATTAGGCTGCAAACGGCAAGACAGGCTGTGATGTCATGCCTGATAGCTGTAATCACTTGATAAGCACTGCAATATAAGAACTTTCTAGAAGACAAATCGTGGTTTGAGTCTTTAGTAGTTGTCAAAGAAAGACTAATGGGCACGCAAAAGGAATGTAAAAGAAACATGCTCGATATAAAAATGAAAAATCAAACGGATGGAGTATGGCTCTTATATAGAAAATAGTAAATTAGACAATAACTGAGGAAAGATCATAGTGGATATCACCCAGGTAATAAAGTGAGAATATAAAAGCGATACTAGCTTTTCGTGATTGGCTTGGTAGGAAATTATTGCCAAAACTAGATTAATGAGCCCGCAACCGCCTTTCACGTTGGATCAGTGTGAATGTAGATACTCGAACTATATGAGGCTAAGATATGAAGCATATCGGTTTCGAAAGAGAAATGCCGAAAAGTTTCAAGCAGAAGTGAAGGAGATAGAATTTATCTATAAGCGTATGTATAGAAAAAAGAAATCTCAAGGAAAAAAATATTTCTGTACAAGTCATAGGGAATTGAACGGATGCGGACCTACCCCAAAATGACTGTCTGCTAAGTAAAATGTGTAAAGTTAGGGAATAGACAACCAATGGAAATTAATGCATATATAATAGGAATACTAAACGCTTTTACTTATTAATAACAAGAGAAATGAGCGGGCGATTAGTGGGAAAAGAGAGTCGACGTTGAGTTGTCACTGGAAGTTCTGCTTCGCCACGTCTGTTGCACAGTATTAAGCAATGGGTGATTTAGAATCGTTAATGCAGAAGGGCGCAGGTAGGGCAACTTGTTAAGGAGGCGATTAGCGAATTCGCTCTGAAAAAAGCAAAAAATCATAAATCTCGAGTTTGCTCATGTGTAAATATTTTCCCAAAAAATCGATGGATAATCTGCTTTCTTTTATTTGAATGGATTCTAGTAGCCAAAATAATTAGATATGAACAATTTTTAATCGACTTCGGATTCGTGCGACTGAGGCAGTGGATTCAATAGTAGTTATTCATTTTACTGGAGAGCCGCTATTAATATTGTTCTCAAAATTCTTCTTTAACATTCTAAACAAAATACCAGTAATGAATAATATTAGTAGGCAAAAATTTTTTAAATTTAAATTCATACCACGGACTCCGAAATAGTATAAGGATTAAGTAAATCTATATTCGTATTAAAGTAGGGCTTCGAGACTACCAGTAACTCAGTGTAATGAGATGTAAACCTCACAAACAATAACGATCGTGTGAGCTAACAAAAGGCTAAGATGTCTGACATGTGTATAAAGTTATATAGAAAAAATAAATAATTAAATAACAAGAACCAAACTATCTTAAGCAAGCTTACATCTTATTTCATTAAATATATGCAATTTGTAAGCCGCTATATGGGTGGTCAAAAGGTGATGCTAAGAGAGGTCTACTTTATTAGTGATTTTTTCTGTCTAACTATTGAGGATTCATCACTGTTGTTGAATCGGAGAATGTTAATGAAAAAGTTGTAAATAGGCGAGTAGTTTGAGTCCGCAGAATCAGTCCCGAGAAAAAAATTAATACTAAATTATCTTTTCGTCAGTTCACTAACTCAGTATATCTTATCAGCAAAAAAGACCAGTGAAGATTGTTCACTACATTTTACTTCATTTCGGTGACTGGAACAATTAAAATGTTATTTTACTCCTATGTTACTAATTAATTGAATGAAAAAAGGCAACCAAAATTTGGCTTTAAAGTTATGTGTCTGTTGCTTCGTTTAACAATAAACAAAAATCTGAAGAGGAAACTATAGAGGCAGTTGGTATTTGAGTGGTAACAGAGAGGTTTCATCCGAGGACTTGCACATAAATAATAAATTATTCACCCCGTGTCCCTCAGGACGAACAATGAAGCTTATCCCTCAATTAGGTAAGTAGGCCTCAGGATTTGACTAGATTTCATAGAGCCTTCGCCCCATAAGGTTTAAAACATCTAGGCTAAGCCGCAGTTTTGACCTGGCCTAAGCCTCATCAGCACCTTTAACAAGATTCGAAAAATGATCATATATAACCACTCAATCAAAGATCTGAATACCAACGAGTCAGAAGCAATATCACTCAAAAGACTAGGCAGGCATTTGCCATTTTATATTTGTAGTAGGGACGATTGATAATAAGTGAAACTCTAATAAAAGTAGTAAAGAAATGCATGAAAATCTGTTTATCATGACTATTTTGTAATGAGGTAAGTAGAGTAGTGGTAGGAGCTAATGTGTGTTATTTACTTAAGTTACTTTTAACAACATCAATATGGTGAAGTTAATCTTTGTAGTTTGCCTACATTTCAAAATAATTTCTTGATTAATCTTTGCCGAAATAAAACGAAACAAGAATCAAAGAAATTTGATTAAAAGTCTAGCACACAGATATGATGAGGATATTTAAAATAAAACAATATCATTTTAAATCCAGTGATATGAGTAAAACATGGGCTTCACCTCATCGGGATGGTTAGCAACAAAATCAGCAGGAAATTCTTGACGCTTAGCCATTGTGAGAGTTTTAATTCTTTCCATGGATGTGGTGAAGGCGATCATCAGCTCGAGAAAGATAAGGCCAAGTGAGAAGATATCCACCTTATGATCATATACATCGCCACGTTCCTTATGAGTTTAAAGAGTATAAAAGTAATAATACATTAAAGAAAGTCTCATCGAGCAAATAGTAAATTTGAACTCTGCCCAAAAAGCAGAAAAAAAACAAAACTCAACCTAACTCGTATTCATTACAATGAGCATTACATTTATGCGACATATGACTTTTATCTTAAATGAATAGTGATGGTTCAACCTGGTTTTCGCAACTTGGTCAGGGCGTCAGAGAGAACTTGTGGAACGTACCTTGTTCTGTATCATCTGTCATAATTTTCGTGACTTCCAGCATAGGATCATTGGATGGATGCATTCCCAAACGTTTCGCCGGCATCGTCATTGAGAGGTACCATCGTA